TTAGACGGAAAATGAGGATGTGGAAGTATTTGCTGGTTGTAAGACATTTTCTTGATGTTTATGTAGCACAACAACAATGAATTTTTATGTTCCGTTCTGATTACAGAAATTTAGTTTCAGTGCGCATTTTCAATTAAGAGGCTGTAGGAGTTTGAAATTGGTGAAGAATAACAAAATAAGTCAATACCTTCAATTATAACGAATTCGTTTTCAACCATTTTTTTATTTCATTTTATCGTTAGCCGTAAAATTGATAACTATTTGAGATATTTACTCATTATATCACGGGAAAAATTAATAGTAATGTAAATTAATTTGAAAAAGCATATGTAATATCGATTTCGACTTTATTAATCCGAAATTACTATATAGTTGGCCTGTACTGAATAAACGCTTGCTTCATAGGAGTAACCAAAGAGGACAATATTCGCTGTTAAAAAAAGTGCTTTGTCTCATTTGGAACACAATGCTGGGAAAAATACGAGTATTTCAGGAGCATTGAAGGTTCAGCAAACCAAGCTTGCAGCTCAGAACCAATTGCTTTTGTACGATGACGTCAGGAAATAAACGAAATAAAATAGACACGTGTAATTTTGTTAAACTTTTACCCTAAAAAACTTTTGTGAAGGTTTTGTTGTGCAATATTTGAGCCGACGTATCCGTTGCTCTGACCATGAACGTCGTAATCGATGCGTTTCCATCGCTCGTTTGGCAGTTTTGAAGTTGTTGTCCAAACAAACAAACGTAAACTGAGCTTCAGTTTTTGTGTGGTTGTCGTACCCGTAAAACTGAGTAGCGTCCTCTAGGCAATGTTGCACGGATATATTTTTTCCATAAAATATCGTGAATACCGAAACCTGCTATCGGCGAATAAAAACAAACTTTTTACTTTGTACGTCCCATTCTAAGCCATATTTGTAAACTTTTTTATAAAAGTGTTCCTGCACTTGATAACTCCGGTCAGGGCAGAAATAGAAATAATTGTCATTGAGTTGGTTTGTGAACGTCCATTACTATGATGCAAATCTCTTCGTCTGAAATATCTTTATCTAATCAGGCCACACCAATGAGCACTTATTTGAAAAAACGAAAAACATCGGTGCATATTTTTCCCAATATAGAATTATTTTGTGGCACTTTTTGCAATATGAAGTGATTGAATGAGCTGAATATTCAGAAAATATTGAAAATCCTTTGCTATGTTATAAACATTGATTCGGGGCTAGCAAAACAGGAGTTTTTACGACACGGGAGCATAAATTTCACTTACGAAAGTAAAGGAAATATGATTTGTGTTCGTTCGAAATATGTGTTTGTGTTCAACCACTTTTTAAATTGATTTTCAATTAGTAAGCTTGTTTGCCTTCAATATTCATCCCTCATCATCCCTCCAGGCAATGCAACGGTGAATCATTTCCGAGATCAGCCTCTTCCGGTCAATGTTCAGAGCGCGGATCTGTGCTTCCGGTGGTCGGTGCGCTCCGCACAACCGGAGCACACTTCCGGCATGATCGCTTACGACGATTTTATCTAACACAGTCAGATGAGACAAATACTATACCAAGTATAGTATAGAACGAATACTATACCAAGCATAAGCAGCTGAGTATTTTATCTAACACAGTCAGATGACACAAATCGCTTAATAAATATTTTACCAAACAATCTCAACTAAAGACATGCCCCCGAACAGCTCTATGAGATGAGTCAGTAAGTGTGAGTTGAAGTTTTAGCGAAAGAGATAATTATATGATCATCCAAATGAAATTACTTCTTAGATTAAGAAATTTTTAGCATGAAAATTGGTAAGATGTAGTAAATACGGAAGCGAACACGCAGAAAAACATTAATCGCATTAATCCTAGATCGCAGTAGAATGAGCAGCAATTCAGCAGGCGAGTAATCCTTAGAAATTTTTGGGTAATAATCTTCTGACCAGTTGAATGATCGTTAAAAACAGTCAATAATCTTTGAAAGAACTGAATAAGATTTGAATGAGATCAATAATATTTAGAATAGACAAATAATCTTTAGAGTATATTAATGAACTTTAGAGCAAGTAATTACTTTTAGAAAAGATGAATCTGCTTGGGAATAGGAGAATCTTAACCTAATAATATGCATAAGAAAATTTAGATACTTTTCAACTCCTCCGACATGAATTTCTTTGTAGGTACGAGCGAACACAAATGATTGTGATACCAAATCTTGAAATTTTAGTATTACTTTCAATGTGACACCAGTAGCTTATAATTTCAATTCTAATCACAATCAATCACCGGTTCATAAGATCACATCAAAATTTTTCTTTTCGGAATGGATAAGCAGAGGCTGATATATCAAAATACAAATAAAAATATTTGTATGTTAATTACACAGCTCGTTATATATTTATTCTACTTTTTATTATACTCATATTTATTTGTTTGCCCTTTATTTATATAAATATTGGACTGTGCATTTATTGAACCCTATAGCGCAATTTGACTAAAAGGGGAGCAAGAAGTTGCGAGTCTGAAATCAATTTGTAGAAGAAAGTGAATTTACTTCTAGAATGATTGTCCTTGATAGAAACACTGCGTGGCCGCTCGAAAACAAAACTGCAAACACTCGAGTTTCTTAATAAACTCGGCCCCTTCTCCCAAAAGATTTGTACCGATTTGGCGGCTTGCTATGCAAACAAATGAAAAACAGCGTAGCTAAATCTTGCTATGCAAACAAATAAAAAACAGCGTAGCTAAAACAATTTCTCGAGCACGGGAAGAATCACAAAAATCTCGAACGAAAAATTTTTTGGACGAGCTTGTATCGGAAGATAGAAGCTAGTCTAGTCTGCTTGTTATTCAATTTTACTTGTATGGTTCATGGTGAATGGTGAATCCCTACATGATTTTTATATGTACCACTCCGTTGTCATGTGTTCGAAAAAGCTTTAGAATTTTATAGTTTTTAAATTAATTGAAAGTTTTTTGCTACAGCTTCTCGATTTTGGATCACTGCATGATTTTTATATGTAACATTCCGATGTCATGTGTTCGAAAACTCTTCGTAATTGTGCGATTTTCTCAATGAATTAAAACTATTATTGCTGCTCATTCTTGATTTTGAGACTTCGTTTAGAAATTAGATATTCCGTTAATGGGTAATCCTTACAATGGCTAAAAATATTGCCTAAATTTCTTATGAATAGACAGAACCATTTTAATTTGTTCTTGAGAGGGATGTAGGAATTTTAACGCATATACATATTTTCAGTAACTTTTCCCTTCAATTCAAACACTCAAAACTTTTTAATTTTAAGTAGAATATAAACTATTATTGTCTCCCATAACAAGCCAAGGCTTGTTTGTGACGCCATTATCACGCAATTAATAGCGTCCTGATAAATGACCCGGAACTACGGCATGCGAAAATCTTCATTTCAGAACTGTCCCATCTGGGCTCTGCATATAGGCACGGCCCTCATTGTCTTATAGCGCCTGGAGTCATAAAATTAAACTAAGTGCGCTGAATGTATCGCAGATAAAATTACTGGGAAAATCAGTTATTTGAAACTATTCTGGGATAAATAAACGTTATTGCAATGCTGGTTTAGTGAGTACGTGGTTAGATGTGTGCTAATTGCAATAACTTTTTCAATTTAGTAATTAGGTTAATTTTCCACGAACTGTAATTTTACAGAAAATGACCCTGCTGTAGAATGCTGACGACGGTTTATAATTAGGTATAAAGGCCACACAAAATCATATTTTCATAATAAAAAATCTTCCCATGAGTTATATCTGAATATCTGTGCAGCAGCCACAAGGTGAATAAAAGGAAGGTTGCTTTTTGTTCAAACAGAAGAAGTTCAACAGAAGTTGATTTTTTTTTTATAAATGTAAATAAACTTAACGAGTATTTTGCTATCGCGGCCACTTATCAAAAAATTTGCAACAGGCTAAATTTAAATACTTTTTGAGTGTTTTGATATTTGGCAAAATTTATTAATTTTATTAGAGTTTTGCTGTTACGGTCATTTATCATGACTTTGCAGCAAGCTAAATTTATAAGCTTTAGGAGGGCTTTAATATCTCGGTCACTTATCATGACTTTGCACCGGGTTAAATTTCTAAACTTTATGAGGGTTCTGATATCGCGGTCATTTATTATTCCTTTACAAAATGTTAAATTTATAAATTATATAAATGTTATGCCACCGCTGTCATTTATCATAACTTTACAATAGGTTAGATTTATTAACTTAAGAAGGTTTTACTACCGCTGTCATTTATCATAACTTTGCAATAGGTTAAATTTATTGCTGCTGTACGTAAATGTGGGGTCCCCCCGGCTTTTACCCGCGCTCTCAGTCCGCGTATTGACATTGATGTCTTCACAGCCTTTGCTTATATATTAGGAATCGCTGCAATGGGGGGTACTTTTTTACTTTTTCCATCATAACTCGGCAACGGCTGCTCATTACTATAACTTTACAACAGGTTAAATTTATTAACTTAAGAAGGGTTTACTATAACTTTACAACAGGTAGCTGCAGCGCTTCACAGTTCCAGTGCAGGGACGACCTCCACTGCATCGACGTGGGGTGGCTCTGTGACGGCATCAACGACTGCGAACACCTCAGCGATGAAATAAATTGTGGGTTTGCAATAATTATTTCAAAGATACAATGCTACTAATTCATATTATATCAAATTTGATCTAGGTTTAATTTTTTTATATCTTTTACTCAGGATTATTAGTCGGCACAGGATTAGTAGTCGGTTTTCGGATTCGGAGAAGACGGTAGAACCCAGTCCCTTCTAAATTTTTTTTACGCTAAAAATATTCTAGCGGGTAATTGTCAATTGGAGTCTTTCGATGGAAATAAGTGGGTTAATGGGCAAGGCTTTAATTTTTTAACTATCGTATTTAATATATTTTCATTACAAGCAACTGCACTTCAGAGCAATTCAAGTGCAATAACGGCGCATGCAAAGAGCAATGGGCGATTTACAATGCAACGATGATTGCGGCGACTACAGTGACGAAATAAACTGTGAGCTTCCAACCCAATCTTTTTGGCTCAAGCCTAATCTCACTTTACTCTAAAATAGAATAGGCATATCTTCATAGCTCTGAATAGCTCTGATTTTTTTCCCACTTTTAGATTGATCCCAATGTGTTTGTGTTTGAAATATCTTGTATAAGAATTGCGTATAGTAATTCGTATATGTTCTACTGTAAAATGTTCATTGGAAGCCCCCAGGTAACTGCACTTCAGAGCAATTCAAGTGCAATAATGGCGTCTGCAAAGAGCAATGGTTAGTGTGTGATGGCAACGACGACTGCGGCGACAACAGCGACGAGCTAAACTGTGAGCACCAAACTCTTCATGGCTGGGGTCTGATGGCCTCAATTCCTTCCAGTATAGAATTGACTCAATGTTTTCAGCTGTGGTTTGAGTTATATTGTTAAATTGATGCTAGTGAATTGAGACGCAAATGCCGTATATTTTTCTGCATACAGATTCAATCCACAATCAGTTGCTATGTCGCCCATTAACAGGCAGCTGCAGTTCGTGGCAGTTCGAGTGCAAGGCCGACGGGCGCTGCCTGCCTTCCGTCGTGGTGTGCGACGGTGAGGCAGACTGCGAGGATCACAGCGATGAACAAAACTGTACTGATGAATCCCTTGAAAACTTTCTTCAGAAACAAGTCTAGTGATTGTGTGTAATGTTTCCCAGATGATAAAAGGTTTCGGAAACAAACGTGAAGCAGAATATTATCATAGATTAACTTGCAAGCACAGAATAACATTATGTGGGGATTAACTTTTCATAATTTTTAATACCCTCATAATAGTGGAGAATGCAGCACCAGCTGAGAGTATTTCTGCGGAAAACTAACCATTTACTGTCACCGGCGTAAACAGAGTCACTTGAGATATGTTTTCAGCATTTGAATCTGGTCTACCTGTTCTTATTAATATCATTCATAATCATCACAGCTCCATTCACCTCACCAGCGTCTGGTGCCGCCACTGGCCTCAGGCGTTGTCGTGCGCCCCGGATCAGCTGTAGGCACAATTAATGGTTTTTATAAAATATTGATTAACAAAATTTCTTCCCGTTGAAACGCATTAGTAAAAATTGTCAGCTTATTTTTTTCCATGTAAATGAGGTACGGTAAAAAATTAGGTTTTTCTCTATGTAAATGAGGTTCGGTAAACTTTTGAAATGTTAAATATTCATTGAATTATTGAAAAAGATCTGAACGCCCAACAACTAATGATCACATGAAGGACATATTTAAATACTGGTTTCCAATTCCGTAGATTTGAGTTTCCTGAATAGGCACTAGGGGCGCAAAAAATTAGTAGGCGCAAAAAATTATATAAATGACATTCAACAAAAAAGAGAGAAAGGACTATTAAGTTAAAAGGTTTGTTATTACTTGAATACGACATAATTATTTCGTTATAATCTAAAAATTGGCAGTCAAAAAGCCAGGATGTAATCTATGTCTGGGAACCATTTCTGTAGACGCAACCACACGTTCTACAGGATGGTGTGGCGTGGTATTTAGGTTACTGACACTTAACTTTTACAAATGTTTCTTTTACCTTCAGTAAATTCGGTAAACAAAAGAAATAATGCGCCTAATAGATAACCATTCCATCAATATTTAGACTTCAATATTCAAGATTATTTCCTGTGTTGCGATTTGAGATTCTCTGCAGCAAAACATCCCTTTAAAATTTCATTGCTCAATAATTCTCCTTCCCAAACTCTGAAAAAAATATTAATTTTAAAATCCAAATAACAGTCAAATCCTATCGCCGCATAATATTCCGCAATAATGTCAACACATTTTCTATCCCTTACAATAAACCAAGTGGTATCACTCTCCAGTTTGCCAGAATACAGCCAGCCTGTTGCAACAGTTCTTCTTTTATCAACAGTTCTTTACTTAATTTATCCCCACCTCCAACTAAAGGGGAACTTCTCAACTTTAATTGCCTGTTTTACGCAGCCAGTCTTTTTGAAGTGCGGCTGGGCGAACATTTCCTCCCCGCATTTTCGTTCTATCAGCGTCCAGTAAGGCTGAACTTGGGCATTAAACCCGGGGTTTGAGCTTTATCCTATCTTGTTTCTTTTACATTTCCGAGCTAATAATTTTCCTACATTTGAACATCAAATGTACACTAAACTCGAAACGGTTTTGAATATAAAAAGTCTTTTCAATTACCTAATTCCATGTACTTCAATTGAACTGAATTTCAGACGATATTAAAAAAAGACGATTAGAAAACCGAAGCTATTTCTTTTTATTTTATCATCAAGGCTCTAGTTCTGCACAGTTTGCCTGTCAGTGCACAACGTGAAATTACGCGGTACATTTTAAGCATTCAGCCTGGTTTATGGATGCGCCTGTGCGTAAAACCTAAAGAGAGAAAATTTCAAGCAGAAAATGAAGAGAAAAATAAGTAATCACGAATCAGTGATTCATTCAGCTCGGTATGAATCAGATCTGACTAGAACCAGCAGCAGCGCACAGAGTTGAGCTGCCGACGTGGGGCATTGAAAAGGAGGTAACTGGAGGCCCGCATGGGCGAGTCCACCACTCGACGTGGTCGTGTGAAGTTCATTTTCTGAGCTGATTCCTGTCCTTAAAATTTTCTTGCATACAGCGACTAAAACTCTAGAACCTGCTTCATATCAATGAGAACTAAGAAACTAAATTATTTTCCGGACCGGAAACTCACGGATCAGGTTACTGGATCAAAAAATCTAACTTCAAAAAATTCATCTCAGATTGTTGGTTTCATCAGTGAAGTCATTTAATAACTTTTTTAAGACTTTTGTCGAACTAAGAAGTATTGATAAATTGTTAACATAAATTTTGCCTCGTTCTCTCTGAGAACAAATAATTTTGCCACTGTTGCTAAAAATGTCCATTAGGAAGGCAACGGTTATTTTCCATCCTCATGTGAATTTGCAGAGAAGTCCAGTTTGCTTTCAATTTATTTTCACCTCATATGAGTTTATTTAAAAGTTCTTGGCAGCCTGAGAAAAGTCAACAAAAACTCTGTCAATACAATATTTGAATTTCTGATAACTTCTATTGAATTCTTAGCCCAAAAGTTTACGGCGTAAATAAGATTAATTGGTTTTAAAAAATTGTAAATAAATAAATTTGATCATTGGTGAGAAATTAGCATATGCGCCACAATTGCTTTGGTGGAAGGTAACATTCAAAATAAAGTCCATTTTTACTAAACGAGTTGATTTTAAAAAAGTTTCTTTTTCCACTTTGATTTATGCAACATCAGTGTATGTCCTGGTGGGCACTGGACATTCTAAACAACTAAACACGACGATAGAGTTACCAAAATATTTGCACACTTAATGTTTTTTAATACATTCTCGTAAGACAACTAATGTGAAACACGAAATTTTGAAGGCTTAAAGCTTCTCTCACATCCCTGTTATAAAATCAATTTCCATGTCAGTAATTCTAATTTGATATCATTTTCTGTGTCAACTTCTAGAACCCAAGCAGCTCTTTGATATCAAAAGTGACGCTTAGTCTGCAAATTACTTGAGCATTCATAGTCTTCTAATGTTTCATTCAATAATTTTGCGCATTTGTCTCGTCATATTTCGCGAGTGTTAATTTAGTTACGGAAGCTTCCTTTGAGTTCATTGAGAGCCTCGATGGCTTCACTCCCCTCCAACACTATGGATAATTAAAGAAAAAAAAAGAAACTAAAAGAAGCAACGTTTATCCACTTAGGCATTTTGAAAAATTCCTCAAGCCTGGTTATTTAACTATTTGATTATTGTCTTGAAAAATGTTTCTCTATAATTAACATGACTTGCCTTGCATTTTGTCTTTTGTAATTAGAAGCAAATCAAAAACTTCAGGTTGGAAATTATTCTCATGTGTAGTTTCTCGCTTCCATGACACTTCACTAAAGGGTAACATTTAATTATTCCTCGTAACTATCTAACTCTCTAAACTACAATAAACAATGAGAAGCAAAAGTAGATGCAGCTCATTATATGAAATGGCGCAAGATTAAACGACATTCTCTTAATTGCTGTTCATTACTGGAGTGTTTCAGCTCGCGTGGGCCATTTGCATTATCAAGTGAAGCTTGCAGGCTGAAAAAATAATGCCTAGAAACTGATGAAGGTTCTCCGGCATCCAAAGACTGGAGCTTAATAACGATGAAACAAATACTTGAATATCCGGAATTTGAAGAGATTCCTCCAATGCTCCCAGACTTTGCTGTGATTGGGACCACCGAATTGAGCTTGAACTATTTAACTTCTAAGAACTTCTTAAATTTATAGAAGAGGAGTTTTGAAGTTGTGTCATGCATAATTCATCTTTCATTTCGTCAATTGTGAAACAGTAATTACCAGGATTAAAACAAACTGAAAAAAACTGGATGGCAGGAACTGAAGTTTGGGTGTCATATTGACGTAGAGATATAGTGAAAATGAGGCTGTAATCTCACTAGTGCTTCGACACTGATTTACTGTATACTTATTTTTCCTGAAAAAAGATTTTTTCAAATAATTTCCACTGTATTCTAGGAAATTTAGTACCTACATAGTGTACATTCAAGAACGTCGTGATGCTTACTATTCAAGTCAAACAATTTGTGACCATGCCATGAATCGTGATTTTTCACGCCTATAAAAGCTCATCATTTAAACATGTTTATACATCCGTCTGAAGTTGAAGATTTGATTCGGATTTTAATTCACAAAAATCTCATTACCTTACGCCCCACGGACTGCTTGCACGAAAGTTGGAACATTAAATAAATTGAATCACTTAAAGTTCGCCTGAAACACGACTTGCCTCACCGGCCTCCGTTTTAGTTCTTGAAATGATAATAAATGACTTGGCTATTCAATTAATATAATTGGAGCCTGGCTGTTTTTTCCACGACCGTGGGGTCTTACAGTGTGCCGAGTAAAACTACTAATTAGCAGCTAACTGCTGTACTCGCCATGTAGTTGCTACGCGAGCAAATGATGATTTGAAGCCAAAGCTCTATACATTTTTGACAGAAATTCATACGCGAGTTTAGGTTACGAGTCAACGCTGGTGTGATAGAACGTCTAGGGATGCATTACCGATAGGAACTAGCTCGCTAAAAAAATTCCTCCCGAGATGACCTGCATTTCCTTTTTGTGTAAGGAAATTATTAGCAGGAATGAGCTGCAAATTGAATTTCATAATTGATCGCCTTCTAGTTAGTTGCCTTCAGGCATGGAAACCGTTGCAGAATAGAGTCATAAAGAACAACACAAATAAATTGTTTGATGAAGGGCATAATTGTTTGTGAATCATATGAATGGTGATTTATACCTTTAGAATTCATCTCGCAATTGACACGGAAAAAATATCAAAGAAAAAATTTCCTCAGTACAAGCAAAATAATATTGTAGGTTTTCACGACGCTTAGGAATAGTCAATGCCAAAATGCAGTATGTAAATGAATCGAGTTGAACTGAGAAATTCCCCACGAAAATTAATAATATCTGTGCGCAATTGGGATGAAACAAAATTTTTTCCCATCATACCTCAAAATTATTCAATTGAAAAGTCAAGAAATTCCTCATATTATTTGATAATGTTCCCTTGAATAATAAGAGGAATCGTGTAGCGTTGATGTAGCCACATTCTACTACACGTCCGCA